CATTTGAGTGCCTGCCATTGTTGCTATTGAAAGCCACCCGAACAGTGTCAGCCTCACCCCTGTGGCTCTGGCCCTCCACGTGAAGCCTGTGCTGGCTGCAGATGGCAACCAGCAGTGCCCTGTCCCGTGAGCAACAAAAGGCTGGGAGAGTTATGGGGTGACCACTTAACCCGATTAATGCTCTCCCTCCACTCATAGGTAGACAACACAATCTTACTGCCTGTTTATGGCTGCTCACCGTGCTGCCTGCAGAAGCTGTGCTCTTCCATCATTGCTCCTTGGTCTTGCCTGCCCCTACTTTGGGGTTAGATCCTGCCTCCTATTTCCTACAGTGAGGTACTAGAGCAAGATCCCCTGAGAAACAGTGGAGCCTTCTCCTCTGGGAGGCTTCAAGGACAGGTTACACAAATCCTTGATTTTGGAGACTAACAGTTGGAGAGAGAAACATTGGGGGGAGTAAGTTGGCCTGTCCAGACCACACCTTGCCTGTGATTCCATGTCTGCTCTTACTGCCCTCATGGAGATGCCTTAATGTGTCCTTACAAGCCTTGCAGCAGATGCCCACAGCACCATCTCCCAGGACTGATGCAATTGGTGCCTCACTGATGTCTGGGTCGGTAGGAAATCGAGTTTTTCAGCTGGTGTGGTTTAACCCCAGCTGGCAGCTAAGCCCCCCAGAGCTGCTCACTCACAGGAGCACTGGCTGGCTGGTGTGCGTGATGCTATGAAGCAGCTGCAGAAATGCTGTCCTGACACCCAGGTGTGCTCACTGGGCAGTGCTGCCTCCTCCTCCTGACCTCTGCAGGGGGCTGGCAAGGTAAGGATGGGAGAGAGTCAGTGGAGAGTCCCAGGTGGCTACAACGGTGTTTGGTGAGGGAGCATCAAGGACTACAAGCAAGACAGGCTGAAAACCAAAAACCAAAGCTGTGCTATGGAGCTTGACCAGAGATCAGGATGCTTGTTTGTGTCTATACTGAGGTCTTAAAAGGTAAACCTGATCTACTCTGCACTGGTGTGGAAGGTGAGGTGGCTCCTGACTCAAGGCTAAGTTCTGGTGCAGCTCCAGCTAATGATGCCCCTGGGTCCTGGCTGGCTGCTTCTTCTCCCAGATCTCAGCTGGATCTGATAGATATGATCTGTGAATTGTTTTCCAGGTCCTTTCACAGATAATAAAACACCAAGGAAAATCATGCAATTCAATAATAGAGTACTATTGTTTTCATATCAGAATTATTTGTCCATAGCTGCTCACATGTGGTGCACACTACTTACTCTCGAAGCTCTGCAATTTGGAAGAGAATTTTGTTTTAATACCACTGCTCCAGTCCCTGCTATTTTCAAGAACAATTAATTTCTGTCCTGCTGTGTTGGGGCATTGCCAAGAAAAACCTAGATCTGATTGCAGAGCTGAGTTCTGGGTTTTACAGTCTCTGTGTACCAGATTGGTACTTTGCTGCTGCAACTAGCCCTTGAGTATGCCTGTGGTCAGACTCTGAGTACATATATTGAATTTGATGATTCAGGACCAAAGGAAGTCCAGTTCCCAGGTGCTTTGTTTTCAGATGTCTAGGTTGGCATTACCAGTGTTGGCTACACTGGAAGCTAGACCTGCTTTAAAGTTCTTTTTTCTTGTAATTTTTTTTTTCACTAACTCTGATGTGCATTAAGTATTTGATTTTGTGAAATTATTTTGCCCATTTGCTCAAATCCTTGGTGTATTAAAATGTCTTTATTAGAAACTGGAGATCTCCTGAAGGCTTTTGGCCCTGGTAATTATTTTATGTTTGTCCAGTAGATCTCCCAAAGTCATTGTTTCCAATAACAAGTCACTCCAGCAGTGGCCAGGCTTGTTAATACTGCTAATCACAGGGGTATGCTATAAAGACTTCTTGATAGGGAAAAGAAAAGAAACCTCCAATATGTTCAGCAATTCCATCCCTTGCTGAGACAGCCTGGCAAGTGGCTCTTATGCTGGGATGCTGAGCTATAACGGAGGATAAAACCATCAAAGGCAGAGACGCCAAGGGGAGCACAGACACAATCAACTCTCCAATTTCCAGCCATCCAGGCTTCTCAGTTAAGGTAAGTGATTGCCTCCAACAGATCCTTTGCAGAGCTGCCAAGTTATTAGGAGCTGCTCAAGAGAGAGGGAGCGCAGAAGGTGTTCCCAGTGACTGAAACCTCACCCGCTGCCCTGCAGCCACAGCCCAGCTCAGCTCGGGAGCATTGTTAGCCTCTTTCCTTCAGGCTGGTGGGAGAGAAAATGAATCTGAGTTTCTTTGTGGCTGACATTCATTGACCACAACTGAGTGAGATATCACCCCCACAGGTTGGGTCTGCAGCCTTGTTCTTCCCTCCTTACAGCCAGCCTTTGGTTAAGACATTTGTGCAAGGATTTATCCCAGGCCAACTTCTTCCTTCCCTTTCCTCTACCCTCCCTCAAATAGGAAGTGAGAGACAGGAAGTGCTTAGAGATAGGAAATGTTTATGGATGCTGTCTGGCCTTTCCATGGCACTGTCTAGATACATCACTGGGTAGACAACCTGTAAAATTAAAGGGCTTTTAATATTAGTTTCAGTAGCAATAAAGCCCATTGGAAGACAAATGCAGGAGGAGTGGGGAAATGCTGGAGTCCAGCATGGGTATTTGAGATAGTAAGTCCAGTAACAGAGATGTGATAGTTGTCAAGCTTTCCCTTCCTGGTTATAATTCGTAGAACATGGTAGCACCAAGTCAGGACATGGTTTTACCAGGCCATGTACAGACACACAAGCTGCAGTGTCCCTATTTCAAAGAGCTTAAGCCAGGTCAATAAGTTGGGCAACTCACCATGAAAAGGAGAGGGGCTCCATAAGTGAGCAGCAAAGTCCCCATGTAGGATAAACCTGGCATGTGTGGGACGGCAGGAGGTCGGAGGATGCAGTCTTTGCCAGAGCATCCATGGAGATGGAATGAGAAACTTGGCCTTGACCACTTGATGGGTGGAAGTGAAGCAGAACCATGCAAGGCTCTGCTAGTAAATGAAACTTCCCTTCAGCTTCTGAATGGAAAAATAACCTCAGTTTAACATTGTTGGTAAGTAACTTTTTTCTTGTTCAATCAAAACAGCAACAAAAAAAGAGCACCCAGCAAGCTAAATGTGGGAAACCTGTCCTCAGGCTGGAAAATATGATCTCAAAGCTCCTTGGTGTGTGTGTATGGGAGTCTCACTTGGGTGAGATGCAACTGCTGAGGCTCCTGGGTATACCTGGAAGCAGCTCTCCCTCCTGCAGGGAATCTGGTCTTTCCAGTTTTGTACTTGTTTTCAAACTCAGGCAAAACAGGTGAGCCCAGGCCAGATAAGAACCTCAGGTTACCCCAAACACTTGCATTTTCTGGTGTCACTGCTATTTGGCAAAATGTAACCCAGGTCTAACTGTGGAAGTTTCTCCCAAACAGGAACATGTGTGTTACCTCACTGCTATTCATTCAGCCCCAAGGATGGTGCGTGGGCATGGCAGGTTCCAAGGAAGACAGAGTGCCTATCCTGCAGAGCAGGTGGTCTAAGCATGGTCAACGTCACAACAAGAAATGTTGTTTCTCCTCTCTTTCCCTTGGGGTGAGAGCGGCAGAGACAGTGACTTGGACCAAATCTGACTGGGAGAGGGGTTTTCCTCAGGGCTCCCCTTGCCACTGGTTGGAGGGTAAGAAGGAGATGGGGGTGGGAGACTATTGCTGACTTTAGTGATAGCTTCCCAGATGCTTCAAACTGAAAGGTGACATTAAAATGCAATGGGATGTGAGGCTTTCATCTAACCTCAGTCCCCTGAAAAGATCATGGAGAAAGGGGTGATCCTGAGGAGAGCTGGGTCTCTTCAGCTTGGAGAAGAGGAGACTGAGGGGTGACCTCATCAGTGTTTACAAATATGTAATGGGTGGGAGTCAGGATGATGGAGCTAGGCTTTTTTCAGTGATATCCAGTGATAGGACAAGGGGCAATGGGTGTAAACTGGAGCATAGAAGGTTCCACGTTAACATCAGGAAGAACTTCTTTACTGTGAGAGTGACAGAGCACTGGAACAGGTTGCCCAGGGGGGTTGTGGAGTCTCCCACATTGGAGATATTCAAGGCCTGCCTGGACAAGTTCCTGTGTGATGTACTCTAGGTTACCCTGCTCTTGCAGGCGGGTTGGACCAGATGATCTCCTGAGGTCCCTTCCAACCCTTGGGAATCTGTGATTCTGTGATCCTTCTGGGAGTTACTCAGAGCTCCTGGGGTGAAAACAATCCCTCCCACTAAGGGGCACATGTTACAGGGAACCCAGGTACTTTCAGCCAGACTTCCTCCCAGGTGTCTCTGCTGGAGACAGAGGGGATGGATACTGCTCCACAGCCATCACCTTGAATGCCTTGCTTCTTTCCACTTACACTAGTGCCTGGATGCCCCAAGGAGACAAGAGCTCAACCCCTGAGGACGGAAAACCAGGTCATGGCAGACACTAGCCAAGGAGAAGGAAGCAGCAGCTCATGCTACATGGGCAGTGTGGCTGCAGGTGCCCAGCCACCACACTGGCACAGTGACTGCAAGATCCTAGTGATGCTTTCCCAGCAGGATCACCCTCTCCACCAGCCCCAAAACGAGACCCTGCCAGCCAGCCAGCCATCCCACTACATGGCTGCTGACCCAAAAAACATCCATTTGTAACTGTTCTCACCCGGCTGCTGAAGGGCAGCTAGGAGGGTGGGATTAGGCAGATCCATGCTGAAACCCCCAGACTTGAGCAACAGCAAAAGCCCTGCCCCGTGCATGTTGAAGCTGCCCCAGTCCCCATTGCAAAGATAGGGCGTGTTTTCCTGTTTTGCTTCCAACAGCCCCATCCATATTGCCCCCTATCTCCAGGCCCTGTTGCATGTGTCTATCAGGTCTAAATGTTATTAGGTGAGGACAAAACCTGCAGGTAGGCCTCTCCCCGGGCTACAATAGCAGCGTGGAGAAAAGCTCAGCTCCTGCTGCGTGCGACATGGCCCCCCAGGGGAGGGGGATGACCAGGGTCAGCGGTGGGGACGCAGGCACCCGCAGCCCGCCATTTGCCCCCATTCAGCGCCGGCGGTCATTGTTGCTTCCCACTGACCAGCTGCCTGCAATCCCCCGACCGAAAGCAAAACGGGTAACACAGCCCCCATTCAGCGGAGATTAAATGCCTGAAATGAGCCACACCTCTGAACAATTGCTTCCTCCAGGAGGACCAGCATTCAATAGCCAGGGAGCCCATTGATCCCCGCTATAAAGGAGGTGGGGGCCCACAGGAACAAGGTTTAACACCGCCCCTCGCACCAGCTCTCCGAGCCTCCCTCCTCTGACTGCCCGCTTTGCCCACATCGTTCCTTGGTCACATTCACCTCCCCAGAGGAAGGCAGCAGTCCTAAAAACCTCTCACATTCATCCTGCAAGGCATCGTATTCCTCGCTGATCGCATTAGGACCATCATCTTGCAACTCTCCCTCTCTGACAATTAGTTACTATCATTCACACTGTGCAATCAGCTGTTAAATCCTCATTTATGTTAATTTGAATGTGAATGTGCTGCTCAGCAAAATGTTAGATTGCCATGTTTACAAATATACTACAGGTATTTAGAAATTTAGATGATACAAAACATACTGCTTAAGCTACTCGTGATGCCAGTTTAAATAACTTAAGCCTATTTATCAGTTATTTAGCAATTCTTTGCACATACTACTGGTTTTCTTCGTGCCACCCCTTGTCACACAAGCAAAAACATGCTTGCTTCTTAAAAAAATACATATATAATCTAATAACTGGTAATCTCAATGATAGAATTTAATTACACATAGCCTCTACATGGGTAGCACAATTTAACCGAAACACATTTTCCTAATCCGTGAAAGCATCCTTGCATTTAAGAATAAAGACGAAAATAACCTCGTTGGCTTAGTGCTAGCAGAAGCTCTATCTTAGAGAATGTAGTATGTCCACACAAAGTGATTTTCCCAAGCTATTACAGTATAATAAGCTCAAGAATCAGTTTCGAGTTAAAGTTTATCTCATTATGTGCTCTGACCTGTATGCATCTCACACTTCCCACCAAAAGCTGATTTCTTCTAATGGTTTTTTTTCAATGCAGTCAGCAGGGTTAGGCCACTTAGCTGTATGAAACCTGCCTCTGATGCAGAAACTCCTTTCCTGGTCCTTACTGGAAGTGAGTTCAGAGGAGGTCCCACATTCCACCACATGGAAATCAGGAAAGCTCTCCTCTGGGTAAACCACTGCCTTTTCATCAGGAGCACGGAGGTCAAGGCCACCCTGATTTCCTGGCCAAGGGATTTTGGCAGGGCCACCTGTCCAAGCACACCCATGCTCCCATCACACCAAACCAGGAAGTGAGATGAGACCAATCTGCTCATAATCCTCTCTTTGGGAAAACAGGTTGTATTGAATTAATGAGGAGGAGGAATTGCATTTCACTCTAGAACACTGTTAACTTTCAACAAAGCTATAGGTTACTTACTAGATCCTACAAAGCAATTGCATACTGGCTGTTTCTTCTTCCCTTTGCCTCTGGATAAACAGAGAATAGCAAGTCCCAGCTTTGCCATTAATTTTGATCACCAAATGAATCATCACAGCAGCGTTAGTCTTACCCTGCTACCCTGGTGCTGTCACTACTGATGCTCCAGCCCCAAAGCCATCCTGAAGCCTCTACCCCTGTCAAGGCAACAATAGGTGAAATTCCCATAGAGCACTGCCTGAAACAGAAGTGCTTTAAAGTCAAGGGAATCTGCATGCTTGCAGTTTTGGGGATGGTTGGCACTATTTGTAGCAATACACGTGTAAGGATGGCAGGATGAAGCTCTGAGTAACCTGGTGTAGTGGAATTGTCCTTACCCATGGCAGGGGAGTTGGTAGGAGATGACCTTTAAGGTCCCTTCCAACTCAAACCATTCTGTGATTCTATGATGCCACTGCAGACAGCACAGGAAGTTTATTGCCAATCACATAGTCCGTATCCTACCTCTCCTAAAGCACATCTCATCTAGAAGAAAAGGAAGTATCTTGAAAGGAAGATGTTGAGCATGAGAACAGCATATATGGGGTTGGATCAGGCCACTTGGTCAACAGACCAAGCATGTGGTCCTGAGGCATAGCAGCTTCACAGAAGCTGCAGGAGAGTACAGTGGGAAGCACTATGACAGTACCAGTGGAGAGGATGCTGCCTTGCTGGAGTTATGGATGGTGTCCACAAAATCCACATGTCCACAGCATCCACAGCTACAGCAACGCAACGTCCACTCCACCAGTCCCCTGGTGCTGAGGAAGCCCCACAGCTGCTGTGGCAAATTTTACCCCAGTGGATGTGGGGCAACATTAGGGTGTGTTCATAGCGGGGTAGTTTGCTCTGTTGGTCTCTGCCCCCGTTTGAGGGGTGTGTGTTTCTTTTTTCACCTAAAAAACAGAAAAATAAGTCAGGTCATTCTTGTGGTACCTCCCAACTAGGTGGTGTAGGGAAGTTTAGGCTTCCCTGCAGCTGCAGGCACCTCTGAAGGGTGGAAGCTTTCTGCAGGCTCAGGTCTCCATCCACACCTCCAGGGTTTCTTTGCAGACACGAGCACCTATAGGAAGGGCCAAGGCCCAGCCCCAGGAAAGGAGAGGCACAACAAAGCAGAGATTTGCCATACATAAGAATAAGGAGGATGAAGATAAGAAAGCTCTCAGATCTTCAGCCAGAGCCCTCTTACACAGAGCAGGGGATGGTGGAAGCCATGTACATGGTCTGGGACCCACGCTCTTGGGTCAGGAGTTTTCATCCCATCCAACCTCTTTTTGCTTTTGCAAGCTAGTCTGCAGTGTAACTGCCATCTTAAATTGAGAGCAGTCTGTTGCTTTATCCCAGAAGCTGGGATCTTCCTGCACCAAAACCATCAGGAGGGCAAAGGCAGTAGCAGAGAGACTGGAGAACAAGTGACAGCACTGTTGGGAGCAGAGACACAGGATAAAGGTTGTTATCACCTGCTGTCTTCATCCCTCTTGGCCCCAGCTTCAAGGTGGCCAAACCCAGCAGTACTCTCTTTACAATTATTCACCTCATTAGCAGGCTGCATGTCAGTCCTGGCTCTGGAGGTGTGTGTGCAATGCTACGACCCTGCGGGGTCTAACAGACCATGAAACATGCAGATTGCCCACTGCCTGTGTCACTGCCTCTGATCCCACGGGTCAGGCTGAAGAGGCATTCCGCTTCTCTAGTATGAGATGGCTTTGATTTTTCATATTTAATAAATACTTCATGTTCTCTTGGCAGAGCCCCCTTTCATTTCTCCTTAGCGAGAGCTGTGATCGGCAGGTGACCGTGACAAACAGTTACTCTCGGTCAGAGAATCCCTTCTTCAGAGAATCCCTCCACCAGATTCTCAGCCCAACAACTGGCCCGTTTTGTCAAAGCACTGGGAAAAGGATATTTGCTACGTTTCCTCAAAAGCCGCACCGTCTCCAAGGGAAAAAAATAACTGTTTTTAAAGATGAAAAGTCAGTTGTTCAGACAATCTTCAAAGTGCTCGACTTAATCCGCGGGGGGACTCGATTTTGCTTTTCTCAGTGCAGATTTCTTCCCCCCCTTGTTCACACACCTTGAGACAAAGGCTATAGTTAAGACGGCGAAGGGGGAGGGAAGAGGGTGGGTTTTTTGTGCGGGATGCGTAGCAAATTTATTCTAGACAGCGCCTGAAATAGGCTTCAGAAAATGGATAGAGTGTCTTCTGGAAGAAAAGGCTCCTAAGTAAACTCCACTGCCATTCAGAAGATTTGCTCCGGCACTTAACAAGTGGAGCAGGAAGAAAGAAAAATCTGTTGTCAGGTTTGGGGTGTTTATCAGCTACCCTCTAGACACTTGACCTGGTGCCGGGGACCCCCTAATCCGCTGATCTGCATGCGGCGAGCCTTGCAGGATTCAGGCCCACGGCCGCTGCTGCAATGGGTTGGAGCACTTGTCCTAATGCGCTGATCCCGCGGCACATTGTGTGCCACTCACCTTCTCCCGCCTCCCGCCTCCCCCCACGCCGCTCCCCCCAAATTTAATTCTACTCACAAATTGTGAAATAAGTTGTTTGGGCTGGATTTGTCGAGTGAATTGTCCTCCTAATGAAACAGTCTGGTCATTATACAGTTGTCGAAGGAAGATTTAGCTCTCCCATACCCCAAGACCCATGCAGGTTAACGTTTTGCGACGGACGGTTGACAAAGGAATGAATGGACTAACGCTGTCAAATCAGGCTTACAAACAGCTTGGCATACAAACAGTTACTGCTTGTGTGCATGTGGATTTAAGGTCTCTCTTAATGGCACAGATTTGTAAGTACAAATCGCTCAGTCTTCAAACTGTTTGCAAAGGGAAGAAAATGACCAAAAATTAGTTTGTTTTAGGAGTTGTTTCCTCCCATCTCTAGCATTTAAAAAAGAGTAAGAAAAAAAAAAGGTGGATCAGGGAAGCACCTACTCCTATATCTGGCGAAGGGCAACATACTTGGGCAACCTGGTTTTGCCAGAAGCCCCTGAGCTGCTTCTCCCCTTTTCTTTACAGAGCGATTAGAAAGCCTTATTGAGATCATTTAGAAGTCTTGAAGCTTTCCAGCATTCATTTCAATGGTTTTAATACCCGCAGATTAAAACTGTTTGCAATAATTTTTACGTTTTTAATTGCATTAATCATTAGCTATAATTACTTCGATTTATGAGCTCTTTTGTTAGGCAGCTATGCAGGAACTGGATGAAAACAGCTTGACTTATTTTGCCTAAGAAATGGAGCTAAGCAGAAATCCCAGAGCAAGAGTAGACTGGAACATTTTTACCAGGTGATTTATCACCAGAGGGACACTTTAAATCTGGATCAGTTTTATTAAGTCTGCCAAGTGTTTATTAAAGCTGGAGCAGGAATAATAGCTGTCTGCAATATCACATAATGACCATCATTCTGCAAAGCCCCAAAATAGCCACCAAATATGGTTTTTGAGTAACAAACAAGGATAATCTCAGGACGTGTTTGAAATAACTTGTGAGCGCCGGCCTCATCCAACACAGGTTTTGCTCACAAGGACATGGGTCGAAAAACTCCCTTTCCCATGGAAGCGCAGCGGGAGGGCTGTGGGTTGCACTTGG